ACTGGCAAACCGATTGCAACAGCACATCAAAAAGCTTACCCACTATGATCAAGTAGGCTTCATCCCGGGGATACAAGGCTGGTTCAGCATACACAAGTCTATAAACATAATTCACCACATAAACAGAACCAAAGACAAAAACCACATGATTCTCTCATTAGATGCAGAGAAGGTCTTTGACATAATTCTACAGCTCTTTATGCTAAAAACCCTCAATAAACTAGGTATTGATGGAATGTATCTCAAAATAACAAAAGCTATTTATGGCAAACTAACAGCCAATATCATACTGAATGGGCAAAAACTGGAAGCATTCCCTTTGAAATCTGGCACTAGACAAGGATGCCCTCTCTCACCACTCCTATTCAATATAGAACTGGAAGTTCTAGCCAGAGCAGTCAGGCAAGAAAAAGAAATAAAGGGTGTTCGATTAGGAAAGGAGGAAGTCAAATTGTCTCTACTTGCAGATGACATGATTGTATATTTAGAAGACCCCACTGTCTCAGCCCAGAATCTCCTGAAACTGATAAGCAACTTCAGCAAAGTGTCAGGATACAAAATCAATGTGCAAAAATCACAGACATTTCTATACACCAATAGCAGACTTAAAGAGAGCCAAATCAAGAACCAACTGCCATTCACAATTGCTACAAAGAGAATAAAATATCTAGGAATACAACTAACAAAGGAGGTAAAGGACCTCTTCAAGGAGAACTACAAACCACTGCTCAACAAAATAAGAGAGGACACAAACAGATGGAGAAACATTCCATGCTCATGGTTAGGAAGAATCAGTATCATGAAAATGGCCATACTGCCCAAAGTAATTTACAGTTTCAGCGCTACCCCAATCAAGCTACCAATGACTTTCTTCACAGAACTGAAAAAAAACACCTTAAACTTCATATGGAACCAAAAGAGAGCCCACATAGCTAAGTCGATTCTAAGCAAAAAGAACAAAGCTGGGGGCATCACACTACCAGACTTCAAACTATACTACAAGGCTACAGTAATCAAAACAGCGTGGTACAGGTACCAAAACAGAGATATAGACCGATGAAACAGAACAGAGGCCTCAGAGACAACACCACACATCTACAACCATCTGATCTTCGACAAACCTGACAAAAACAAGCAATGGGGAAAGGATTCCCTGTTTAATAAATGGTGTTGGGAAAACTGGCTAGCCATGTGCAGAAAGCAGAAACTGGACCCCTTCCTGACACCTTACACTAAAATTAACTCCAGATAGATTAAAGACTTAAACATAAGACCTAACACCATAAAAACCCTAGAAGAAAATCTAGGCAAAACCATTCAGGACATAGGCGTAGGCAAGGACTTCACGACCAAAACACCAAAAGCATTGGGAACAAAAGCCAAAATAAACAAATGGGACCTAATCAAACTCCACAGCTTCTGCACAGCAAAAGAAACAGTCATTAGAGTGAATCGGCAACCAACAGAATGGGAAAAAAGTTTTGCAATCTATCCATCTGACAAAGGGCTAATATCCAGAAGTAAAACAGATATAGAAGAAAAAAAACAAACAAGCCCATTCAAAAGTGGGCCAAGGATATGAACAGATACTTTACAAAAGACATATATGAGGCCAACAAACATGAAAAAACGCTCATAATCTCCAGTCATTAGAGAAATGCAAATCAAAACTACATTGAGATGCCATCTCACGCCAGTTAGAATGGCCATCACTAAAAAATCTGGAGACAACAGATGCTGGAGAGGATGTGGAGAAATAGGAACACTTTTACACTGTTGGTGGGAGTGTAAATTAATTCAACCATTGTGGAAGACAGTGTGGTGATTCCTCAAGGACCTAGAAATAGAAATTCCATTGGACCCAGAAATCCCATTACTGGGTATATATATCCAAAGGATTATAAGTCGTTCTCCTATAAGGACACATGCACACGAATGTGCACTGCAGCACTGTTTACAATAGCAAAGACGTGGAACCAACCCAAGTGCCCATCAATGATAGACTGGACAGGGAAAATGTGGCACATAAACACAATGGAATACTATGTAGCCATCAAAAATGCTGAGTTCGTGTCCTTTGTAGGGACATGGATGAACCTGGAAACCATCATTCTCAGCAAACTGACACAAGAACAGAAAATCAAACACTGCATGTTCTCACTCATAGGTGGGTGTTGAACAATGAGAACACATGGACACAGGGAGGGGAGCATCACACACTGGGGTCTGTCGGGAGGAAATAGGGGAGGGACAGCAGGGGGTGGGGAGTTGGGGAGAGATAGCATGGGGAGAAATGACAGATACAGGTGAGGGGAAGGAAGGCAGCAAATCACACTGCCATGCATGTGTGTACCTGTGCAACAATCTTGCATGTTCTTCACATGTACCCCAAAACCTAAAATGCAATAAAATAAAATTTTTTTAAAAAGGTAATTCTTATTTGGGCTTGTAGACAAAAATTTTATGAGAAACACTGTTGGCTAGGCAAGGTGGCATGTGTGTATAATACCAGCACTTTGGGAGGCCAAGATGGGCAGATCTCTTGCGCACAGGAGTTTGAGAACAGCCTGAGCAACATGTGAAAACCCATCACTATAAAAATTAGCTCGATGTGGTGCTATGTGCCTGTAGTCCCAGCTACTCAGGAGGCTGAGGTGAGAGGATGGATGCCTCGGAGGCTGAGGCTGCAATGAGCCAGGATTATGCCACTGCAATCCAGCCTGGGTGCCAGAGACCTTGTCTCTAAAAACAAACAGAAAAACACCGTAACAGAGAATAGAGCCCAGATCCAACCCGACACGTGGCCTGGTGAGCCCAGCCTGCCCAGCAGCCTGGGAAGTGCTGGAGGGCACTGGAAGTTAGTTTGCAGGGGTCTCCGCCCTCAGGCCACTGCATTTCTGCTGATTTTTATGTTTTGAGGACAGCAGGTGGAGGGGTAGAGTAAGGAGACTGCCGGACTGCAGAACAGTTTGCAAAGCATAGTTGGCTTGTTTTTTCCGTAGCTGGTTAGGAGGGTAGTAAAGGCCCAGGGTTGCTTTAGTTCTCTCAGGTTTCAAAATCTGCATTGCCTTCCTCTTGAGGACCACCATTCCTACACAAGGAACCATTTTGAATAAGGCCAGGAGCCTTCAGGTTCACTTGTGTCAGGGTGGAGAGGGGAACTGGCCATCAATTCAGAGTGGGCAAGACAGGCAGCCCAGGGTGCTGGCCTTGGGAGTGTCCTCAGTTAGGTCCTTGGCTTGTTCTGGGAGCCTCCAAAGTATGCTCCTGTGTGTGTGACTTCATGGGACTGGGCTCTGAGAAGGCCGTGGCTTTGTTGGCCCTGCCAGGGACTGCCACACCAGGCCGCAGGGCTGTGTTCGAGCTGGCCAGGGAGCCAGGTTCAGGGAGCTGCTCTGCTTGGAGCCAGTACTTACAGAGTGAGCCTTCTCCTTGGATTTGTTATCTGTATTGACTCTTCTTATTTCCTCATTCCTTTCTGAAAATAAGTTGCAAGTCTGAAGTCCGTTGGTGAGTTCTGCCTGTAAGGACAGAAACTAGAGGTGTACAATGAATATCATAAATTATAGAAATGTATCCCACTCCAGTATAACAGCTTTCTGTGAGGCTATCTCCTCCAGACTATGGCCCTAGAGTCTAGCCCTGTGACTTCATTTATTCCTCGAATAAGAAAATGCTTGAGGACCAGGGACTGTGCTAGCACCAAAAATCCAGTGGTGAACAAAATGGCTTCATGAGTTCATTGTCTAGTAAGCGAGACGCACATTAAAGAAAAAAATGTCATTTGCATAATTATGTAATTACAGCTGTGATGGGAACTACAAAGGGAAGGCCAAGAGGGAACCTGATTTAGATGAGGTTATAGGGAGGGCCTCTCTGAGGAAGCAGCACTTACTCTAAGCCATGAGGGATGAATAGGAGTTAGTCAGCTGAGGTGAGTATTCCAGGTACGGAACAGCATGTGCAAAGGGTCTGGGGCAGGAGGGAGTGTGGTGTCCTGGAAGAACAGCAAGAAGCTGCTGTGCCCTGGGGTTCAGACTGTGAAAGAGGAGACTCCAGGAAGCTGACGAGGTAGGCAGGGACTGGACTATAAAGATCTGTGGGCCATGATGCGTGTCTTTGGTCTTTATCCTAAAAGTGATGGAAAGTCAGTGAACAGTTTGAAGCAGGAGAGAGATGTGATCAGATCTGCACTGCAAAAAGACCAATTCTTGGCTCTTCTAGGAAACTGGATTAGAGAGGGCCGGACTACGTGGAAATGACCCGTCAGTAGGGCATTGTACTGATCCAGAGAAGCAATGATGGGTGCTCAGACCAGGATGGCGGGCTGAAGATATAGAGAGGCTCCAGGGAAGCATTCTAGATGCTTAGGAATTAGGACAGAACTTTGTGATGGAAGGAACATGGGGATGAGAAGGAAGGTGTCCAGTGTGACCCCCAGGTTACTAACCTGCACAGCAGGATTAGAGTGGTCCATTCACTAAGCCAGGGGACCCTAGGAGGTGCAGCTACTTTGAGGTGCAGGGGAGAGGTCCAAGGAAGCCCAAGCAGGTAACTGCCTCCACTAACATACGAACGAGGTGGTGGCGTTGATGAGATCGGCTGGGGAAAAGGGCCTAGCCCCAAGCCTGGAGAAATCTCAGACATAGAGGTCACATGGAGGAGAATATAGGAAAGGAAATGGAGGTAGAGTGCTCAGATGCAGGAGAAATAGAAGTCAGGACAGCCACAATCCTTTGAAGGCCAAGAAAGACAAGACCTGAAAAATATCGTGACATTCAGGCTTACGGAGGTTACAGGTGACCTTAGTGAGACGCAGTGAACAGAGGGATGGCAGCTGGAGAGGATCCATGCTACTATGAAGGAACTATCTGAAGAGTGTGTTCCTTAATTTCAGGGTTGTGCGATGCATGAGTGTGTGCTATGAGCACACCTTGGAAAGGATTGTGTGAGAGTCCCTAACATTTTACCTGTGTACTTTTGTTTTCCCCTTTCGACAGCCTAAATGGAAACCTGATAAAGCCAGAGGAGGCCAAAGTCTATGAAGATGAGAAGCGGATCATCTGTTTCTGAGAGGATGCTTTCCTGTGCATGGAGTCTTTGCCCCGAAGCCTCAGCAGCAAATGCCACTCTGGCAACATCTTCTGTGCCAGTGTCTTAAAGGGGCCTGTGGAAGCGGGACCGTCAGGAGTCCACTGCTTCCACGATGCAAGCCAGCTTCCTGTGCAGAGGCTCCGGTCGGCAAACTCCCTAAGTACCTGCTACAATTCTGCAGAAAAAGAATGTGTCTTGTGAGCTGTTGTTACTGTAAATACACTGTGAAGGGACTTTATTGCATATTATAATTATTTTTATCTGAAGCTAGAGGAATAAAGCTGTGAGCAGAACAGAGGAGGCCAGCCTCATCCCATCCCAACGCCTGCCATAGGGACCAGCAGGAGCGAGTTGGCCACTGCTGTTTTCACTGAAGAGTTGAGGACATGGCACAAAGTTGGTGCCAAGCTTCGTGACTAAAAGGTGCTTGATGGATAAGTATTAAACCTGAAATATTTTCTTCCTTCTCAGCACTTCTCCATGCATGGATACTGGCCCCCATTCACAGCTGGAGATACTGGGGTGTGTGCAGTGTGGGATTTGACTCCTCCATGGTTTTTGTGGAGACCCATGGCAGTCTTGTGGTGGCTGCTCCATGAAGGTGGGGGTGATATTACCAGATCACTTGTCCTCTTACCAGCTCATTTGTTAATAAAATACTGAAAATACTCACTCTTTCTAACGGGTTAAGTCTGGAGTTTTTGAAGGACTTGGCCTGGTAAGCTCATGATGACTCCGGAGCTCCATCCGGTCTCACTCCACAGATTAAGGCTCATACCTTTATCACTCTGCCATGGTAGGGCCCGCAGGCCAGGTTTGACGTCCACTACCTTCCCTTGGCTTTTCACTGCTGAGTGGAAGACCCAGGTAGGCCCATGGCAAGAAGCACCGAGCTGCCAGGGGCAGCACGTGACACTGGAAGGCTTGCTGGACCTCCAGCGGTACCTCTGAGTTCTGGGAGTCCAAGCCTGGCTTTGTAGAGCAGACTGTTAGGTAAGGAACCATTGTGGGGGAAACCCTGTACAGTTGGGCAACTACATGGTGGCAGTTCCCTTAAAGACTCGATGTTGCTGGTTCCTACAAGGCCCCTCCCAACCCCTGACCTGAGTATTCACCTATAATCACCCCAAGGCAGCAACTCTCTCCTTGCTGCAGAATCTGGGCAAAAAATATGCCCAGAAAGAACACGGGAATGAGCATGGCCTGCTCAAGGCCAAAGGGGGAGTGCCACAGACCTCAGACTCGCCAAGTCTCACCGAGAAGCTCACTTCTTAGCAGACAAAATTCACATTTCATTAAACTGCTGAAACTAAACCCTTGAGAGTCTAAAATTTACTCAAAAACTACTGAATGTTACTGCTTTTAGAGACTATCGAAATTAAAACTGCTACCTCTAGGGAATTAGAATTTGCGTGGTATTGACTTAAATTCAATTTGAAACAGTTTGATCTTCTAGAGCAGGCGTCCCCAAACTACGGCCCACGGGCCGCATGCGGCTCTGAGGCCATTTATCCGGTCCCCTGCCGCACTTCAGGAAGGGGCACCTCTTTCATTGGTGGTCAGTGAGAGGAGCACAGCATGTGGTGGCCCTCCAACGGTCTGAGGGACAGTGAACTGGCCCCCTGTGTAAAAAGTTTGGGGACGCCTGTTCTAGATGGTGAATGGTAGATTTTCTATTCCTCCTGTAAAACTGAGATCGGGCTCCTAATTGGATGGAAAGGTTCTCTTATTAGAAACAGGTGAGCTTCTGAGCAGAGACGTGGAGATTTTTCCTAAGCAAGAAAAAGACAAGTGGAAAAAAAAAAAATTCTGTAAAAGAGGGATGTGACACTCCACAGGACATCTTGGGTGATTTTGGGAAAGAAGCTACATCAGCTCCCATATTACATACCTGCACTTTTGTCCTGTCCATGCTGACATGCAACTTCTCTAAAAAGCCATGTGGAACCACTGTGTGGCCAGGTGGTATTAGCTCTCTGGAGCACCCTAGCTGCGTGGCTTTGGAGCAGTCTAAGACTGTCAGAATCTAGATTTCATCCTTGAAAAATGAGAAATGAGGGAATCTGACTCAAAAGGTTGTTGAGAGGATTAAATGAGTCATGGAAAGTAGATGGCACAGAGCCTGGCACAGGGTCCTGCTCAATGTATGGCAGTTACCGTCAAGCCAGTGGGTCTGATTTCTGCTTTCCGTGGAACTCCCACATTGTCCCCTTCTCACTTCTTAGTCTCCAGGAACTTTCCAACAAGGTCAACTACAGGACTGGGAGTTCTCAAAGTAACCCCCCAAAATACTCAACATCAAGCTTCCTGCAATATCCTACCTTTGTCAGTGAAAAGCATAGCCTGTAGTTTTCATTATTATTACCAAAGAGCATACTGCCACTAAGTGTCAACTCACTGAACAAAGGGGGCACCTGTGTCTTCACTGTCTATGAAGAACAGAGCTGGCACCACCCTACAGAGCCAGGCCCATGAACCTTTGCCAAGTGGGAAAGAGCTTTCTGCTTATCCCTATTTGGGTTCACTTCCAGGTAGACCACAGGTCTGTTTGTAGTAACCAATTGCTTACTTACAGGAAAAAAACCTTGCTCTACAGCTGAAAGGTAAAACCATGACCATTAACCCAGGTTCACAAAGAAGAATTTTAATGAAAGAAGAATTGCCTTGTGAGAAGGCTGAGACTCATGTTACCAGGGGACATCCCAGTACTGCTCTCTCAGCCTTAAAATGGAATGAGCTGCACCCAAGACCAGCTTAAGACTCTTAGAGAACATTAAGTACTGAAAAGGTTACAGGCCCCTCTGATCTATAATAATAACTTTAAATAGTAAATTATAAGTCCAAGATGTTAAACAAGTTTCTAATTTTTCCCCATGACTGCCTAGGTGCTTTTTCAGGCCAATAACAAAAATTAAAGTGTCTCAATTTTTTTTGACTTTTTTTGGTATAAAGTGCATTTATTTGTGTTGTCAAAGTAATGTTGTTACCAGTGTAATATCTATGTGACCTAAGTAAATTTCTCCCCACCTTAACTCTGCCTATCTTTAGGAAACAGGAAGTCTGTGGTCAAAAGCTCCCCATCATGACCAAACCAGCTAAGAGTGGTGGGATCCAAGATGGCAGCTAACTTGACCTTTGAAGAATCTCTAACTTCATTATAATCTAATTTCCATGCTAAATGACACTCCCACCAGTGCCATGACAACTGACAATCACCATGACAGTGACCAGAAGAAACCATAAAAGGACAAAGAAGGGGGACAAAAACTCTGGTTCTGAGACGTTATCTCATTCCCAGAAAAGACATGAATATTCTTCCCCTTGCTTTTAATTCCCCAACCCCTTCATTAAAAATGCCCCATAAGCATGACTTCCTGGCTCTCATTGGGGATATCCCGTATCTGTGATTTCTTGGCTGTCATGGGAGATGCCCTGTCTCTCATGGACTGAGAAGCTGATTTATGCACCAGACTCCCAATTATCAATTCTATGGGCATCAAATAAAGCCTGGACTGGTAGACGTACACTTTTGATTTTGTGTATTGGCTTTGTGGCACTGAACAGGAAAATACTCCACTTTAGGGGGGATTGGCTTTGTCAATAATGTAATAATGTTAAAGGAAAAATTTAACATTTATGATAAACACTAACACAGCTATTTTAATTTTTGTATATAATCTTCCATGCTTTGCCTACTTTGAGACCTCTTTTTACAATTATAATCACAGGGTATATTAACAGTTCTTTTTGTCAAACATTTTCTCACATTGTTAGTTTTTATCATTTATGATCATATTCTACCAGTTTGAGAATTGGCTTAATAATATTCCAGACATTCAGGTTAGACCTTCAAGTTTCCAGATTGATTGTGGTAGTGGTCACTATAGACACTATTTCTATGAAATTAAACAAGTTTTTATGGTTATTTCTTTGGAATGAGATTATCAAGGCAAAGATTCTTGCTATTAATTAGCCAGGTATAATGATGTATGGCTTGGTCCCAGCTAATCCAGAGGCTGAGGTCGGAGGACTGCTTGAACCCAGGATGTCAGGGCTATAAATGAGACTGGGTAACAGAGTGAAACCCTATCTCAAAAGAAAAAACAAACCATATCCTTGCTATGAAATATTTTTAAACCTATGTTAAGGGTGTAATAAGTTTGCAAGCAAGTGAAAATTGTAATGTGAAGCCAGCAGTGTCTCCTTTGAATAGAAAAAAACTCCCTGCCCCAACTGTCAGACCAGACCAGTGTTCAGGTACTGCCCATACATATACATGTGCTATATCTAATGACTGGCTGCAGGGAAGAAGAAATCAACACATCTGTTTTAAAGTGGCACTGCTGAAGATAACCACTTACTAGTGTGCAAGTGTCAGAATCTTTAAAATCAGTTTTCCTTGATTTAAATACTTATTTATAAATGGATGTGTCCTTGCTTTGCCTAAATAAACCCAGCCAGATTAACCCATGAACATCACGCCAAATAAAAACTTCTTCCTCCCAACAACCCTATGAAGTAGAATTATTTCCTGAATGAGGAAACTAAGGACCAATAATATGAATATATATCTTATTAATCAGGATTTGCATAAAAATGAAAAAAGCAAACTAAAACTCTTCAGGGAAGGAATATAGGCAAATGCAGAATGTTCTGCCTGGCAATATCTAAGATTTCAATCTCCTCATTCTACCAGTAAGAAAACTGGCATCAGAGAGCAAAAGAGACTTACCCAAGATCACTTTAATTACCGGAAGAATAAGAACTAGAACACAGGGCTTCTGTCTGGTTTTATTTTCCCTATGCTCTGGTAGGGGTTGTGACCTTTAGTTCACTCTGCAAGTGACCTCCTTTCTGCCAAACCTCTTACCTGGTGACAGAGGACTTTTTTCTTGGTCACTTTGCAAGCTGGGGACCTCTGGCCAGAGACACTTCACCTGGGCCTTGCTAGGTCATGCTACCTGCTGCAGGAGACGGCCCACCCAGGCCAAGTCTGGCTTGTGCACTGGTTCCCGAGTGCTTGTCCCATGCCCAAGAAGCATGAGGATACACTGACAATTGAAGAGTAAGCAAGGCAGGGAGTTTGAATGATTAAACAGCTTTTCGTGGAGAGGGGATACAGGAGGAGTCCCCCTACCTGAAGGTGTGGAAGCCCCCCCACATGGTGGCTGAGTCTGGAGCTTTTATGGGCTCAGAATGGGAGAGGGGCAGGTCGTAGGTAGTACTGGAAAAGGCAACATTTGACTGGCTAAAAGCATTATTAAGAAAGAATCAATCAGGAAAGGGAGGGCAAAAAGGAATACAAGTTCTCACTCTGGGTTATGGCTTTCACCAGGGACCAGCAGTCCAGTCTTTCAGCCCTCAGGCTGTTTTTTGGCTTTAAGAGAGGGCTTCACCTGGCACCTGCCCCATTTGCCTAGGCATTTGGCTGCCTCCTCTCCCTATTGCTGGTTCCAATCTGCTAGAGCAAGTTAAGCAAAATGAAACTCTTTCCCCAAGGACACAGATCGGGTCTCTTTAATGTTTTCAGGATTTCTTCAGGAAGCCTGATCTTTTTTCCTATATCCAGGTGCTAAAAGTTACAGGACTGTGGGGTCATGTCTCATGGCTGGAGTTACAGGCTGGGAGCACCCTGCAGAATGGGAGTTGACATCTTGACTCTACAGAGCCAACAGCTTAATCACTGGCTGCAAATACTCCATCCCCGAACCATGAGACTGGACCAAAGGAAGTAAATGGGTGCATTCCAGAGAAGTGGAGAAGGTTGCAACTGAGTGACTTTCATCACAAGAGGGCAGCATGTGTCCAGTAACTAATCCATTATGTAAATGGCCAAAGGATTCAACTGTGCATGAGGTCTGGTGACTGGCACATTGTTCTATTTAAGTAAGACTCAAACCAAAGTACATTGTGTTAAAAGTAATTTTAAACCTATTCATCCATGAGTTCAAAGACATCAATAAGTGCAAGAATCAGCTGAAGGCACATTAGAAGACACTGTTGTGCCAAGTTCTCTGGGGACTGAGGATCTGGGTTCAAATCCCAATGCTACCAGAAGCTGTGTGACCTTGGACAAATGACTTAGCTTTTCTGTACCTGAGCTCCCCATTCATAGGAGTTTATAAAACATTGCTCCCTTTGCAAGACTGTCTGATTGTGACTGAATGAATTAATAGGTGTAAAGCACTTTAAATAGTACCCAATATTAACTCCTGTTACCTAATGAGAATTTTTTCCTCCAGCACTGCCTTAATAAGCATCAGGGATAGGGTAAGAGAAAAAAGGAGACTCTGTCAGGCCATCTTCCTAACATGAAGAGCCTTCTCCACAACACTGCCATTTTCAAACTGATAGCAAGTCCAGTCTTTTAAGCCCAGAGACCAGAAGCCATTTCCAAGGCTGAATACCTGTGGGATTGGAACTATACTGTCTGTACTTGAAACTGTCTTCAGTCTTATTCTGTTAAGGAGTCGCATGTCCCAGTGAACACATATCCAGAAAGAAACATGGATTAGGTAAGCCAAAAATCAATTTGCATTTTGATTTGATTTCACAGATGTTAGAGTGCATCATCTGGCTTTCCACACTAAAATCTTACGATTAAAGTTTCTTTCTTACTTTGATGTCAGCATGTGGTTCTCTTTCCAGCGCTCCTTTCATTCACTGATGAACACTGCTCCTGATTCCCCTGCTTGTAGCAAACAAAAATGAATGAGCGAAGCAGAAAGGAGTATAGGACAGGAGGGAGACGAGAACAGAACAGAAAGGGAGGAACAGAAAGGGTGAGCTAATTCCTGAAAGCTTGACTTCCATCCTCTATTGCCACCATCCTATTGCTGTGTCTGGAGACTGGTCTGGTGCCTGAGGCTATCAGCTGCATCCTGAGCACACTGACCTTTTCTGGAGCATGTAAGCGCATCGCCTGCTGAATAGCTGTGGGGGACAGCTCAGTTGCCCACTAGTGCTTTCAGATTCCCAACTGGATAGTCACTAGGTGATGTGTAAGCTCATCTTCTTTCTGCTGAGAAAATGCACTTAGCTTGTTTCCAATTCACGTTCCCGGGAGGACTCGCTGGTGGTCAAAACTCTTCCACTTGAATCCTCTAGTCCATTGCTTCTCATTATCACCCCTGTAAGGAGACATTTTAGGTATTTCCCCCTAATATCCCTCCCATCCTGAAATTTCACTATCATGGATATACTGTCTGTTTATGTACAATTGAAGTCCTCTGAAGGCCACAAACCATCGAATATCTAAGTTCCTTTTTGTCTCCGAAGAATCAGTATTGCCCCTGTGGGGATGATAAAACCCTTGCTGAAAATCTCATCAAACCCTAGATAATTCTTCTCATGCTTGCCATCTCCAAGAACCCTTCTGTCACCCTCTCTTTCTGTGTAGAGTGATTTGCTTTCTGCACATTATTCAACTTTCAATACATCTTAATAGTTATAAAGATTCTCATTCTCTTTTCACTCTATCCCAAAGATAGTTTTATCTATGTGTAAGAACTGGGCTTGTGTTAGGAAAAGCAGTGCTATTTGTGAAAGGGGAACAGGCCTTCCTAGCAGGGACAGTTGTCTGAAGTATTCTGGCCTCAGCTGCTTCAGAGATGAATTTCTGCAAAATGTCCCCAGTTACAGCCACCTGGCCTTTGCGGAGAACTTGAGGCTAACTTCGGCTTTGCTGCTGTCCCACTTCCCTTTCTCACTTCCCAGTTCCCCCTCCCTCACTCCCTAAGAGACCCAGGGATACCCAGAATTCCCTTTTAAAACAGAACCCGGGCCTCTGCCACTCCAGGCTGCCTTCTTCCCGTATCAGTCCAACCCATTCCTCACTGCTGAGCTTAGCTAGGTGTTGGGGACATCAGACTCATTCAGGTAATTCAGAATAAAATACAACTGTCTCCAGGACTGCTCATGTCAGACAGTTTACTATCAGAAGAGGAGCTGGCGGATCCAAAAATTCTACTTACTCACACAAAGGACGATAAACTTCAGGTCAAGATAATCTTCAGTTCTCAATTGTCTTCCCCACAGTTCCAGAATCATTCCAGAATAGGGCCGGCATTTCTGAAAAAGTTTGATCCCTGCAACACCTTAAGCAGAACTCAAAGTCCATCTGCTTTCTATCTAGCCAACCATCCATTTGTTTCACAAATACTGAACATCTGCTTTAGGCCAGTTACTGTACTGGCTGATAGGAAATGGTTAGTGTCATGTCTGGACGTTTTCCCTGACTTGCAAGTTAGTAAGTTAAACTGTTACTCTTTTGTGGATGCTGGCACAGGACGCAAGCCTCCTGGGTCAGAGCGCAGGACTTTGTGATCCACAGAGCAGTCAACAACATGAGCATAAGTGTGCCTGCATCCACCGCTGTGGCCCTTAGCCCACGAAGACAGTGTGCTGGATGGGGCACAGGTGGATGCCACACATACAGTGGCTTTGCATGGCAGGTGAAGAACACTGAGTTTGAGGAGCCTGCCATTTTATAGCAAGCAGTGGCAAGTCTGCTTTCTGAACTGGAGGGAGCTATTACTTTATCCTCAAGATAAAGATCTTCGGAGCTGTTTTGTACATTCTGTGGCTGTGTCTTCGATCAGTGGAGAAAATTTTGTGATGGCATCTGAATCCACCTGGAACATCAGTGCCTATATTGGTCACAACTTTTCTGGTGGCAAATAACAAAATCCTTCTCTGAGTATCTTAAGCAAATGGGGGCATTTACAGGATAAATCCACTGGGGACTAGCACACCAGCATGGAAAGTGTGGGGGCAGGAACCAAGATAGTTTCTTAACCAAGAAAAGTTAAGAAACAGGAAGCAGGATCAGCACAGCCAGTACTCCACTGATACATTCGTGAATGACTTCTAATAGTACCTTCTTGGTTTTACTCTCAATATTCAAAGTTCTTGGTAGCCAATCAACCCAGGTCAGGTCACAGGCACTGCCTCAGCTGCCAGGAGACAGAGAGAGGGAGGATGTTAGCCCCTTTGTCTTTCATAGTGGGAGCTGGGGAACTGTCACCCACCCAGATGACTCACAATGGGAGATATTCCCAGAATAGAAAAGGGCATAACAGGAAAGGGTGAAGGATGGCACGGGGGACAGTGACGGTACGGGGAGTCAAGAATGATTCACGGGCTTTTGGATTGTGGGGCCATTCTGAAACTACCAGGAAAGAACTGACTTTTGTTTGGAGGGAAGGGTGAGTGTGGAGGAAGCACAGGCTCGGTGTGGACATAAACTGAGTCTGAGGTGCCTGTAAGATAAACAACTGGAGATACACAGGGTTGGGGCTTAAAGAAGAGGCCCGAGGTAGTGAAACAAGTTTGAGACTCAACAGGATACAGATGGTACTGAAGACACGGTCAAAGACGAGGCCAACCTAGCACGAGACGAGAGTGAGAAAAGACCAAGCACGAGTCTTGAGGAATTCCGTCAATTAAAGGTAAGGTAAAGGAGGATGAGCCTTCAAAGGAAACTAAGACAAGGCCAGAAAGGTTGATGGAAAAGCAGAGGGATAGTGGTGTGATGCAGAGAAGTCAACCACCAGTAAATAAAGTTTCATGCCCATGGATTTAGTGACGAGAAAGTCATGGGTCACCCTGATAAGAGCTGTTTTCATAATAGCAAGGAAACCAGACTGAAAGGATTGAGAAATAACTGGAAGATGAGGATATCCTTCAAGAAATAACATGTGAGTTGGGCACAGTGGTTCATGCCTGTAATCCCAGCACTTTGGGAGGCCAAGGCGGGTGGATTACCTAAGGTCAGGAGTTTGACACCAGTATGACAAACATGGCAAAACCCTGTCTCTACTAAAAATACAAAAAGTATCCAGGTGTGGTTGTGAGCACCTTTAATTCCGGGTACTCGGGAGGCTGAGGCAGGAGAATCGCCTGAACCTGGGAGGCAGAGGTTGCAGTGACCAAGACTGCACCACTGCACTCCAGCCTGGACAACAGAGCAAAACTGTGAGGAAAGGAAAGGAAAAGAAAAAGGGAAGGGCAAAGGGAAGGGAAGGGAGGAAAGAAAGAGAAAGGGAGACAGATGATGTGAAGGGAACAGGATATGACAGGAGCTCAAAGGGGTTATGGAGTCTAGGGAGGGTTACTGCGTCTGACTTGAAACGAAGGGAGCTCAATGCTAATGGCAAATATGAAACTAGGAGAATGAGTAAGATTCACTTCTTTAAATCCCAATTCTACTAACCTAAATGTATGATGTATTGGTAAATATTTTATTCTCATATATAGATCTGAGAAGTAAAAAAATAAATGATTTTTATTATATCCAAAACAGATATTATTAAATAGAACTTGATTCAGAGGTTATGAAAACAGCCTTAAAGCGGGACTCTGGTATTAAATACGTGTCTAAGATGTTGTATATATGAAAATGATTTGCCTGACTTGTACATATGGCAGATTGTTGCAGTAAATAGTCCCCAATAAATCATACTCCCCTCTCCCCAGGTGACTCACGCTGGATAATGGCCTGTCTGCAAACACAATGCAAGCAGGAGCTTGAGACGTACTTGCAGACTGGGGCTTGCCCTCTCTTGCTGCTGAGAACTCTTCCACCACCATGTGAATAACCTCAGGCAGGTCTGCTGGAGACGCATGGTCCAGCCAGCACCTATTTCGAGACATGCGAGTGAGGCACTGCTGGACCAGCTAGCCCCCGGCTGCCTATCTGCGCATTGTAGCTGCATGAACAAGTAGGGGCAAGAGCCCAAATTTCTGACCTGCAGAATCATGAGTTAATTTAAGATCGTGGTTTTAAGTTACTAAATGTTGGGGGTAGTTTGTTACCCAGTAAGAGATAATTGATACTCTTACTGGGTATTTTGTTATATACCCAGTAAGATACTCTTACTGGGTAATTTGTTACCCAGTAAGAGAAACAGTACATGAAAAGAAGGCTAAGTGCTATAATAACACATAGAATGCTAAATATACAATGGCTTAAACAAAATAGAAGTTTATCTCTTGCTCACGTAAACAGTCCAGAGAGGCTTCAGACTGGTAGCAGGGGGCTCTGTCCCATACAGTCACTCAGAGACTCAGGATGTCAGTCTTTGTCATCACCAACGTGTGGTTCCCAAGGTCACCTTAGGCATCATCAGCCAGACAGCAAAAGCAGAGAGAGCATAGAGGACAGCAAATGGGGAGTTTTACTGGGCCCAAGCCAAGAAACATGACATGTCTTCTCGTCACATTCCATAGGCTAGGACCCAATCACATGACCAAACCAAAGAGTCATGAAGGAGTAGTTGTGTACCTAGGAAGATGAGAAAACAATATGATTAACAACAGATACCACAGAATTGTACTGCCTTTTTTTTTCCTTTTTTTTTTTTGAAATAAAAATCATGTTTGTCAGAAGCATAATGGGAACAGGCTGAGGAAAGATCTGGGTAAGATTTTGGTTCCACGCTTGTTAACTGTGTGACCTGGGTGTATTACCTAATCCAGACAGACTTTCATTTCTTTATCTGCAAGATAGGGAAATACTTTTTTCAATGGGTTGTTGTGAACATTAGTGTAGTTTAATCTCTACACTTGGTAGAATGTCTAGTATATGATTGTATTCAATAAATAGTAGCTACTGGAATTAACTAAATTGAATGGTATGATAAACAAATCAAAGAATATGGAGGGAAGAGTAACACTCAGCTGTCCGGATAGCAGTAGTATTAGTCACGATGCTTCCAAATTTAAATTACTGAATTTAAATCCAACTTTAAATCCAACTCAATGTAATCAAAAAGGGGCATTTACTAGAATGATGCAAAGAGATGAGGTGACTCTCGACATCAGAGGGAGAACTGCGGACTGGAACCCCTTTCAGGACTTCAGAGGCTCAGTCTTTTTTTGTTTTTCCTGTTCTGTGTCCACTTATATTCTTTACTTCATTCTCCCCCGTTATAGACGCATCTTTTGCATGTCTCAACAGAATCCAGAACTGCTAATTTTAAAATGTGTGATAATAATATTGTAGTTATGCTTTTAAAGAGTCCTATACGTGTAGAGATACACATTGAAGCAGTACGGATGAAATGATATCAAGGTTTTGCTTTGAAGTAATACATTTTAATATATTTGGGGATGGAGAGTGCAGATGACAAGACTGGCCATGGGTTGGTAACTGCTGAACTTAGGGGATGGCTGTGGCATTCCATTAGACAGTCAGTCAGCTCCCGCTGTATCCTCTGGGTTCTACATCTGCGGAGTCAGCCAGCCTCAAATCAAAAGTGTACTTAGGTCTATGATGGTTGTACTGAGCATGCGCAGATGTTTTTTCCTTGTCATGATTCCTTAAACAATACAATATGAAAACTATTTACACAGCATTTCCATTGTATTAGGTACTACAAGTAATCTAGAGATGATTTAAAGTGTGTAGGAGGATGTGCACAGGTTATGTGCAAATACTCTGCCATTTTGTAGCAGCCACTGAAGTGTCAGCCGGCGTTCCTATGCACAGGGGATCCTTAGACCAATCCCTCACAGATACTGAGGGATGACTGAACTGTCCTTTCTACTTTAACATATATTTGAAATTATCTGTTAAAAAATAGAAACAAACAAAGGCCCAAGACTCATCTTGTCTTGGCATAGTGATTCAAGAAAAGGAACAAATTGGGTTGGCCATCTTATGTCAATTTTTTAGCTGTGATTTTCTGCCTTGGTGAAAGCTTTACGTAGTTAAAAGGTTAGAGTTATCAGCATTTTCATCCATTTGGGTATGACCGTTCTGAATTTTGATGGAAATGGGTAAAATGATATACAGAAATCAGGACTTGACAGGGTTGAACTCACTACCATCTTTTCATGACCGCTTTGCTAAAACACTTTTTCCATTTTTCTTACATCACTTAAGAAAAGCAGAGCTATTCTGCCAGTGTTTTCCTCAAGCACCATCGTATTTAATAGCCTCAGGAGAGACAAGTTCAGAGAAAAAGGCACAAGGCCTGAAAAAGCTATGGATCTATTTTCTAGTGATGGAGATAATAAGCCTTCAGAATAGTCATGTATACTGAAGGTATCTAATCAGAATGTTCAATACATCAGAGATCTCCTTGCCAGCAGCACAAAAGAAAAGGAGTAAGGTTGAGAACTAGTTCCTATTGCTTTCTTGTATGATGTATTTTCTAAAGGGAAAGAAAGCTCTCTGTTTCTCTTTATTACACTCAAGGTGGGCACGTTTTGCAATCATGTTGTTTGAACTGGTTGATCTCATGTATTATGTTGATCACATAAAAAATTAAGGATCAAGGGGAAGAAGGTATTGATAAACTTAGAAAAAAAGCCTATGAGTGGGGCGCGGTGGCTCACACCTGTAATCCCAGCACGTTGGGAGGCCAAGGTGGGCGGATCACTAGGTCAGGAATTTGAGACCAGTCTGGCTAACATAGTGAAACCTCATCTCTACTAAAAATACAAAAAATCAGCCAAGTGTGGTGGTGTGCACCTGTAATTTCAGGTACTCAGGACGCTGAGGCAGGAGAATTGCGTGAACCTGGAGGCGGAGGTTGCAGTGAGCTGAGATCCCACCATTGCACTCCAGCCTGGGCGACAGGGCGAGACTCCATCTCAAAAAAGAAAGAAAAAAAGCCTAGGAGTATAGGGAGCCAGAATTCCTTGGCTATAACCTAGTCTTTGGCCAAAAAAACGTGTATTTGGAATTTAATTTTTATAATTAGACATCTTTGCTAATCAGTCTCAATTGTTATATCCAAATTAGACTTTTAATTTTCACAGATGTGCCAGGTTGTCTGTTCCAAAGATGGGCATCACAATACATCCCATTCCACGTGCTTCTCTTACTATGTAAGATTGACACTCCTCCCATCAAGAGGTAGAGTCTGTCTTCTCCCTGTGCACCTAGCAAGACCTTCATGTCCTTCTTGACCAACAGGGGATGGTGGAAGTGACTCTGTGTGACTTGTGAGACAAGATCCTAAAAGTCATGCACTTCTGCCTTATTCTTTTGGGATAACTGCTCCTGGAACCCAGCCACTGCAGTGAGAAAGTCAGGCAGCTCCATGGACACGCCATGTGTAGGTGTCCTGGCAAATAACCCCAGCTGAGGTTCCAACTTAAAGCCACCGTCAACCACCTGACAAGAATGAGTCTTCCATTGTTGCCAGCCCCAACCTGCTGAGTCACTGCCAATTCCAGCTGATACTATAAGGAGCAAAGACGAGCTGTAGTGCCAATTGCAGCCCAAATTGCAGATTTTTGAATAAAATTAATGACACTAACTTAAAAATGCTTTGTTGGCCAGGTGCAGTGGCTCATGCCTGTAATCCCAGCACTTTGGGAGGCTGAGGTAGGTGGATCACGAGGTCAGGAGTTCAAGACCAGACTGGCCAACATGGTGAAACCCGTCTCTACTAAAAAATACAAAAATCAGCTGTGCATGGTGGCTCCTGCCTGTAATCCCAGCTACTTGGGAGGCCAAGGTAGGGGAATTGCTTGAACCGGGACCTAGGAGTTGGAGGCTGCACTCCAGCCTGGGCTACATAGCAAGACTCCATCTCAAAAAAAAAAAAAAAAAAAAAAAAAAAAAAAAAAAAAAAGCTTTGTTATGCAGCAAAAATAATTAGAAGAACAAATATGACATTATTAAATTAGTAATGCTTTTGGCTTTTAATACATGGAGGAATAAGTAAAATGTTGAGTAAATATGAATAAAGTGGTATATTTCTGAAGAAGTCAGAGGGATGAATTAGCAATACCTGCAGCAACGTAAGTCGATTTTAATATATAGTGAAGAACTAATAATCAGAATGCTATACAGACAAAATATTAGGCTGTTTTTTGCACTGCTTATAGCAAAAAATATCTGACATTGAGAAAAAAAATACCTGAGAAGAGGTTGAACTGCCTCGCAGTTCTACAGGTGGTACAAGAAGCATGGTGCTGGCATCTGCTTGACTTCTAGAGATGCATCAGGGAACTTTTACTCATGGCAGAAGGCGAAGTAGGAGCAGGCATGTCCCGTGGAGACAACAGGAGCAAGGAGAGTGAGGGGAAAGATGCCTCGTACCTTTAAACAGCCAGATCTTGCTAGAACTACCCCAAAGACAGCACTGAGGGGACAGTGCTGAACCATTCATGAAAACTCTGCTCCCATGATTCAGTCACCTCCCACCAGGCCCTACTTCCAACACTGAGGATTATAATTCAACATGAGATTTAGAGGGTACAACATCCAAACTGTATCAGATGATAACCATTTATAAACATTTAAAAAAATACTCAAAGAAATCCTAGGTATTTTACAAAGATTCATAAAAACCTAATTCAATATATAGAAGGCAGATCAGAAGGACATATTTAAATACACTAGAATGTGTAAATAACTATAGGATTGGGAATGGGAATTAAGGGAGAACATTTTAAAAAATCAAAAACAGAATGTTATGTAATTTCCAAACTTGATTCCCATTTCCTTCTAGTCACACAGCTAAAATCTATTTCCCAGCCTTCTGTGCAGTTAGGTGTGGCCAAATGATTTAGTATTAACTACTGGAATGTGGGCAGAAGAGATGTGTGTTAACTCCAAGCCAAGCCCCTCAACAAGGAAAAAATGACCTTGCCAACTAATACACAGATAACAAGATGGACCACAATCCTATCCTGGGTCATATAAAACAAAGCTTCAAAAATTTAAAAGGACTGAAATCATAAAAAATATAATATCTGTTCATAATGAATCTAACTAGAAATCAGTAACAGAAAGATACCAGGAAAAATCACAAAACAATTAGAAAAATCACAAAACATCACACTTCTAAATACTCCAACGGTCAGACAAAGTCTCAAAGGAAATTTAAAAATACACTGAAGAGAATGAAAATACAACATATAAAAATCTTTGGGATGCAGTTAAAGCAGATTCATTTTTAAAGAATTTATAACACTAAATGCTTATACTGAAAAAACAGTCTCAGATTCATAACAAAGCTTCCACCTCAAGAAACTACAAGAGGAAGAGCAAAATAAACCCCAAGCAATCAGGAAGAAAGAATAAAAGTAAGAGTAAAAAGTCAATGAAACTGAAAACAGAAAAACAATAGAGAAAAATACAAACAAAAGTTTACTCTTTGAAAAGATCAGTACCATTGACTAACCTCAAGCAAGGCTGACAAAAGATGAGGAGAAGAAAAGGGGGGAAAAAAAGAGAGGAGGCAGGAAATGGGAAAGTGCAAAAAAAGACATAAATGCCCAATCTTGGTAATGAAAGAGGGAATACTCCCACAGACCCAGCAGACATTATAGGATAATAAAAGAATACAACAAACAACTCTGTGCCCATACATTTGACAATTTAGATGATACGACCAATTCCAAACTATAAAGACACCCAAGATAACAGATAACTTGAATAGTCTCATAACTACTAAAAAAGCTGAATTAACAGTTTAAAACCTTTGGATAAAGAAATCTCCAGGCCCAGATGGTATCATTGCTGAACTGTAACAAACATTAAAAGAATAAGTAACAGGTTGGGTGCACTGGCTCATGCCTGTGATCCCAGCACTTTGGAAGGCTGAGGTGGGTGGATCACAAGGCCAGTAGTTGGAGACCAGCCTGACCAACATGGTGAAACCCCATCTCTAATAAAAATACAAAAATAGCCAGGCATGGTGGCACACACCTGTAATCCCAGCTACTCAGGAGGCTGAGGCAGGAGAATCACTCAAACCTGGGAGGCAGAGGTTCCAGTGAGTCAAGATTGTGTCACTGCACTCCAGCCTGCGTGACAGAGTGAGACTTCATCTCAAAAAAAAAAAAAAAAAAAAAATAGTAAGTAACAGTTCCTTTATACCATCTCTTTTGGGAAACAGAGGAGAAGGGGACAACTAATAAGTGAGTTAGCAGGGTTGCAGGATACAAAGTTCACACACACACATGCAAATCGATCTTATTTCTATACACTAGCAACAAATGCATTGAAACTGAAATTAGAAACACAGGACCCTTTACACAGTTGCTCCAAAAAAAATGGGATAACTTCAATCTAAATCAAACAAACTATGCATAGGATTTGTATGGAGAAAATTACACAAATCTAATGAAGAAAATCTTTAAAAGACCCAAGTAAATACAGAAGCAAACTGTGTTACGGATTGAAAGATGATTCAACATGTTGAAGATGCCAATTTCACCCAAATTGATCCATATGCTTAATGTGGTTTTTATCAAAACCTCAGAAGGATTTTCTGTAGGTATGAGAAAAATTTCAAATTTATATGAAAGCATAAAAAAAAGAAAGAAAGAAATGCTGGTAGAATCACACTATATAGTCTTCTAATACTATATAGCTACAGTAATTTAGGCAATGAAGTCCTGGTGGAGGGACAGATATGTAGATCAAAGGAACGGAATAAATCCACACAAGTATGGCTAAGATTTTAACAAAAGAGCAAAACCAATTCAAAGGAGAAAAGATTTTTTTTTTTTCAATAAATGTTGTTAGAGTAACTGTACATTCTTGGTCACAAAAACAAACCTAAACCTAAACCTCACACCTAATACAAAAATTAACTCAACATGGATCACAGATCCAAATGTAAAGAATGAAACCACGAATCTTTTCAATATTAATAGCCTAGGATTAGGTGGAGTTCTTAGACATGATGCTAAAATCGTGATCCATAGGGGAAAAACATCAATAAAGTAGACTTTATCAAAACCAAATCCTTTTGCTCTGAGAAAGGCCATGTTAAGAGGATGACAATGTAAGGTACAGACTGGGAGAAAATATTTGGAATTCTCAGTTCTGACAAGGGGCTTATATCCAGAATATATAAATAACTATAAATGCAACGGTAAGAAAACAAAAAATCCAATTAGAAAATGTACAAAACCAGACACTTCACTAAAGAGGATATTCAAATGGTATGTGATATTCAGTGTTAAACACAGAAACGTTTAACATTGTAGCTACTAAAAAATGCAAATTAAAGTCATGATGATATACTACTACACATCTATTAGAATAATATGTATTAAAGAAAAAAACCCCAAAACTCCACAATACTGTCAGTGAGGATGCAGAACAACTAGAACTCTCATATCCTGATGGTGGGAATATAAAACGGTACTCTAAGTTTGGCAATTTCTTATAAAGTTAAACATAGACTTGCTGTAGGACTCCTGGGTATTTATCCTACAGAAATAAAAACACATTTCCACACAAAAATCTACACAAATGGTTACAGTAACTTCATAATAGCTGAAAGCTAGAAATAACCACAATGTCCCATAATAAGTGAATGGATAAACAGTGGTTCGTCCACACAATGGAATACTTCTCAGCAATAATAAAGACCAAACTACGGACGCATGTGACAAGCTGAAGGACTTTCAAGGACACTTGCTGAGCACACACACACACAAAAAGGCAATTTAAAAAGTTATGTATTACATGATGCCATTTACCTAACAACATTGAAATGGCTGGTAACAGTGATGGAGAACACATCAGTGGTTGTTGGGGGTCACATCTGTGAAGGTATGATTATAAAACTGTAGCATAAGAGACTGTGGTGATAGAATATTCTGTATGCTGATTATAGTATTTATAACTATACTTTAACATGCATCTATAGTTAACATGCATCTATAACATAAATTCATATAAATATACATTGGAAAAATAACATGTAACAAAAGTCAAAGTGTGCAGTGTAGTTAATAGCATTAATCAATGCCCATTGCTTAGTACTGATAATGTATCAGGGTTACCTACGACTTTGTCACTGGGAGAATCTGGGGAATCCTGGATGAAGGCACACAGGAATTGGTGGTATTGGCTTTTGCAATTCTTTATGAGTATAAAATTTATTTTAAAATATAGCTTAAAAAACTGGGATGAAGAAGCTTCTAAATATCATCTAGACTCTTACCCTTCCCTAGAAGCCTGTATCTGGGCCAATAAAATAAGAAAAACTTAAAATCTGCCTCACTTGCCGATCCGCCCAAATACTGTTCCACACTTTCCTGTTTGCACCTCTCCTTTGTCTTCCCTCCTCCTCCTCCAGCCTCTGAAATGTACAGACTAACCCAAAGTTCCTTAAAATAGCAGTCTCCATATGAAGACCCAAATATTTCCCAGTATGTCCACGTCTAACACAGGCTGTATTCAGAACTTTGTGCCACTGCTGTGCCAATCCTGTCCTGGCCCACACACTCCACAACCTTCTTGACCTCTGTCAAGCAGCTCATCTTTCTGTGGGTCCAGGATAAAAAATCTTCATATTGTGAATTTAAACAGTTACTGGAAAATGGTTCCATTCTAGTCAAGAAAAGAAAGAACTAGAAGCCTCTTAGCGATTATGACAGGGGCCACCAAAGGGGAACTGCAGCATCCAAATTCGAACAATACCCTTAGCCTAAGAAGATTAATAACGTTAATGATAGGACAGAAACAAACTCTTCAAATTGACATGGGTAATACTATAAATCTCACAATTGTATTTATAAGATTCAATTTTTCAGAATTGTAACATTTTCAGGTGGTAGGTTAACTTTTGCCCGCTCTGATCTGCCCATAGCTGGCTCTCATTTTCCCTCTTCTACTTCTCTGTCTCTTGCTCTTAGAAAAACCTGTGAATTAATAAAAAAGTATTATGCTGTTATTTACATACACATACAGTCCAGATAAAATTCAAATGATTTTTTAAAAATTGTCAGGTTTTACTGGTATTGGTTCTTTATTCTCCTTAAAACTAATACAGGAGAAAAAAGTTAACTGTTAGTTTGAATAACGGTCTTGGTTACTAGCTTGTAAGATACAAAAAGCAGGAAACTAAAAACTTTTGACATGATTTAAAATTTTGGCTTATGAATACATAGTTTCAATCATGTATCAAAATCAGAATGAGTTATATTAAAAGTGTTCATGTAACGTTTCTGATCATATCCCTTTGAACAAACTGAAATTATTTTAGTTTAAAAACAGCTCTATTTTGTCTCACTGACTTTACCACCATGTAAAAACATTAGTAACAAAGTGCTACTTTGTACAAGAATTGGATTTAATGTTTGTCGGATTTAAAATGTCTCAAATTCTTGCACTGGTTTGTGGGTCAAATAGATTTAATCATGTGAAATTCTTATTAGTGCTGCAAACAATAAAGACTTAATATGTGAACTTAGCTTTTAGTTTCCAGATCCATAGTTAACTTTACAAGTTTAGACTAATATTAAATAGTTAATAATGTTTAGATACTTTGACAATTTATAAGAAAAGTATACAAAACTGGTCATGAAACCTTGTTTTATACTCGTCCCCTATTTTTATACATTATAGAATGAGTAAAGAGAAACTAAGTGGAAATGCCTTTGGATAATATTACTTTATTTTTACCATCTTAAGATTTACAAAAGATATAAAATGTATCCTATCTTTATAAAAGATATAAAATGTAAAGAAAAAAATTAGTTTTTGGTGCAGGTATTCCAGTTCTCTGTGTTTAGAGAAAATGAGTTATTTTCATTGAGATAGCAACTGACAAAACAGATAACAACATAGTTATAAAATAATACACTTCATACATATGAGATAACAAATGTGGTTTATCTATTAGAGAAAGTTAATTTGATTAAGATGGTAGATTCAGTAATATATATTGTTTTACTTACTATGGTCATAAAGGTAATTGTATGTTAAAGCTGAATTAAAACTTCAAATTTATTACATATTTATAGATTACATTAAACAAAAATTTAGGAAGGTACATTAATGGAATAAAAGTCCTTCAGAGCAAATCATTATTTGGATGATAGAACAAAATAGTCAGATTCAAATTAGGGTTCTCTTCCTGTAAAATGACCAATCTCATTCTATGCCCAGAGTGTTCCTTTTCAAAAATAAGATAGTGTGAAAACTCTAGCACACTCTTCAATCATTTTAACATGAAGTTTTTTTGAAAAAATTAAGTTTCTTATCACCATCAAATTGTTGCTATGTGTTGATGATATTGTAAAAATTTCCTGCAGTTAGTATTTCTTACTTACGTTCATATTTTGTCTGCTTGCTAACTCTTCCTTATTTTGACTTTTCCAACTTGAGAATAATAAAATTGCCAATGTGTAGTTGACAACTAAATGTTCTTCAAGTATCCTAGAATGGCCACAAGGCAACCCTGAGATTTGCCTCTTCATCTTATAAAAGGAAGAACAGAAATAATTCATTTTATTTGGTATTTTCAAATTTCAATTACCTTAAAACGTATGAAAAAGCTCTTTTTAGTTGTCTAAACATAGAATAATAAAATCTGATAAATCACATGAGAAATTTCAACACAGTCATTTAATATCAGAAAATAAAAACCCCTCTGAGTCTTGATGAAATGGACCTTTTCAAGAGATTTTAAGCTCTTCAGTCTTAAACATCTGCTGGGAAGAGATGATTAGATGAAGACATTAACCAAAGACCCTCAGACTGAAGAGATGGTGACACAAACTAGACAGCATCTACCGGACACAGAACAAGATTACTTTACTGATAGCTCTGCTTTTGTTTTTCCCACCCTAGTGGTAATCTTTTATGTTATTGTACTGTGGTGCCCCCTAGCAAGCACCGAAAGGCTTCACAGATTGTGTTTACATGTTCTCACTGTTATATTTGCATTCTCCCATGATCCTTCTACATCACATGAGAAGGCAAATTCTCGTTTGTTCTCAGTCCATAGCTCCTACTCTACAAATCTAACTATTGCTGGATTTTTTTTTTTTTTTTTTTTTTTTTTTTAAGACAAACTTGCTCTGTCACCCAGGCTGAAGTGCACTGGCACAATCTCGGCTCACTGCAACCTCTGCCTCCTGGGTTCAAGCGATTCTCCAGCCTCAGCCTCAGGAGTAGCTGGGATTACAGGTGCCTGCCACCACACCTGGCTAATTTTTGTATTTTTAGTAGAGATGGAGTTTCCCCATGCTGCCCAGGCTGATCTCAAACTTCTGACCTCAGGTGATCCTCCCACCTCAGCCTCCCAGAGTGCTGGGATTACAGGCATTGGATTGTTTTTATTCCCACCCTGACCTCACTGATAAAAATTAACAGCTGTTACATTAAATAACTTAGACAGCTGATTTTCTTCTACAGGTCCCTTCCCATATTGAAAGCTTCCTCACATTTGTTACCCCCAACCTTCAAACTTTTAAAACTTGGAACCTAACCTCGAGTCAACAAAATACTTCTGCTGAAATCATTTGAACACAGCTTACTAGGAGTGGAAACAAATACTGGGGCTAGCCTTGTGGCTATGGTCAGTTGGTTCTCTTCAGACTCCCTAGCCTGATTTACAAGAACTGTTTACATTCATTCAGGAAATCTGCCCACCTCCAGGCACAAGCAGTTTGCTCTTACGTATCATGATGTAAGTAACTTACTGTATGAATCTGCTCTCACACAGCTAATAAAGACATACCTGAGTCTGGGTAATTTCTGAAGGAACGAGTAGTTTAATGGACTTACAGCTCCACACTGAGGATTCCTCACATCAACAGCAGAAGGCAAGGAAGAGCAAAGTCATGTCTTACATGGCGGCAGGTAAGAGAGCATGTACAGGAGAACTCTGCTTTATAAAACCATCAGATCTTCTGAGACTTACTATCACGAGAACAGAACAGGAAAAACCCCCATGAATGAATTACCTCCCACTGGATCTCTCTCATAACACGTGGAGATTATTACAATTCCAGGTGAGATCTGGGTGGGGACACATAGCCAAACCATATCATTTACACTCTCAATACAGATGACCCCACATTCCTACATGGCTTCTTTTCAACCTACAAATCATAATTTGAGAGATGCAGCTAAAACAGTACAGCATCTACTGATTATAGAGGAAATAGCATTCTATACAAGCTCTCAGAAAAGGAAAGGGGCAAGACTGAATACTTCCCAACTTTCTTAATGAGCGCATCATTACCCTGACACCAAAACCAAAGATACTGCAAGAAAACAACAGACCATGTCCTTCACAGACATACATGTAAAAAAATCTTCAACCAAATGTTAGCAAAACTGAATTCATAAATACATAAAAAGTTCGGTCAACATTCAAAAATTAATCAATAAAAGCCATCCTATCAGCTGATTAGAAAAGAAAAATCATGATTATTTAATTTGATGGGGAAAAAACAATTCGCCAAAATTCAACATCTATTCATAACAAAAATCCTCTTAGGAAAAGACTGAATGCCTTCCCCTTAGGTTCAAGAACAAGCAAGGCTCTCAGCTTTCAGTCGTGAGATCTATTTATATTAGCTAACGTAGTAAGGAAGAAGTGAGAGAGGGAAGGCAAGGGAAGGGACAGAGGCAGAAAGTGACTGATGATGAGGAGGAGCAGCAAACAATAAAAAGAGAATAAAAGAAAATAAATAAGAAGTGTACAGATTAGAAAGGAATAAATAAATGATTTCTATCTGTGGACAACATAATTGACTATGAAGGAAACTGCAGAGAATCTACCAAAAAAAAAAAGCTAATAGAACAAATAAGTGAGTTTGGGAAGATCACAGGATACAAAAGAAAATATATAAAAATCAGTCATTTTCATATAATAGCAGTGAACTGAATATTAAAAATTTTAAAACAGTATTATTTACAATAGCACTAAAAATCACAAATACTTAAGTATAAACCTACTAAATTATATTGTATGTTGAAAACCATAAAACACTGATGAAAGACTTTAAAAAACTGAAATAGGCTGGGCGCGGTTGCTCATGCCTGTAATCCCAGCACTTTGGGAGGCCAAGGCAGGCAGATCACCTGGGGTCAAAAGTTCGAGATCAGCCTGGCCTGCATGGTAAAACCCCATCTATACTAAAAATACAAAAATTAGCTGGGTGTGGGGGTGCACACTATAATCCCAGCTACTCGGGAGGCTGAGGCAGGAGAATTGTTTGAATTCGGGAGGCGGAGGTTGCAGTGAGCCAAGGTCACGCCACCGCACTCCAGCCTGGATGAAAGAGAGAGACTATCACAAACAAACAAACAAAAAACCCTGAAATAAATGGCGAGATACACTGTATTCACTGGCAACAGGACTCAATATTGTTAAGATGTCAAAATTGATCTGTAGGTTCAATGCAATCCCAAAATCCCAGTAGGAGGTTTGGTAGTAATTAACAGGCAGATTCTAAAATTTACATGGAGGGGCAAACGAGCTATAAAAACTAAAATATTCGAGGAAAATATGAAAAAAATGCCTATCATTTGCAGTGGGAGAATGAAAATAAAAAACACAATGAAATGCACTGTATACCCAAATCAAAACAACAAAATACCAAAAACATCAAAACCACAGACAATACCAAACTCTGGTGAGAACGTCAATCACCTGGAATTTTCATACATTGTTGATGAGAATGCCAAGTGGCAACACCACTTTAAAAGCCCGTCCGGCAATTTCCTACTAAGTATATATATTTATTATATAACTAGCAATCCCACTCCTAGGAATGTACTCAAGAGAAACAAAATCTTTGATTCACATAAAAGCATCTAGGTAAATGTTAACAGCAGCTTAACCACTGTCATTAAAAACTGGAACCAACCCAAATCTTACACTAGTAAATGGATAAGCAAACCATGGATTGCCATTCAGCAATTAAAATGACCAAGCTGCTGATACACATGACAACATGGATGACTCAAATGATTCGGCTAAGCGGAAAAAGCTGGACTTCTGTGATTTATTCTCATTCATATTCAAGTTGCTTGCATAACTTGCAATCTTTATTGCTTTTCACCTGTTATTCTTGACTAAGTATTTAACAGGAGTCTCCTGATGTTTGAGATGAGCCCTCTTCCAGAGAGACCTTGCTGTGCTTCTGCCAAATTCAGATTTTGAGAATCCTTGGCCCAACCAGCTATGTATACTTGAGAAGCTAATCTTCAGAAAACCAGATATGCACAGGCCTTCCAGGGAAATTGCATTTTCTATTTATTTTCCTCCCTGCTCCAAGAACCAAGGTAGCCACAGTTAATCACAACTGCTGGGAAGAGGACACTGGGTTCAGTTCTGACTCCTCCTTACCTTTAGCAGGTTGCTTCTTGTTATCCAATTCCTGTTGGTATGGTCTTCTGCAAATACCCTGTCTTAGGTGGGCTCTGTGCTTTGACATGTTTTTTGGCTCAGCAAGGCCACAGAAACAACAGACAAGTGTTTGTGGTATCAGTGACTGCTGCCTCAGCACAGGCAGCTTTTTGTTCCAGTAAGTTCCTCAATGTTTTTTCCTTCTTCACTTAAAAAAAAAAAAATCCATTCTTTTGTTTCTGCAAGTTTTCATAACCAGCCGTCACCAGAAACTGGAAGTCCAAACATGCTATTATTATTTAAGTAATTGGTGTACATGTTATAAATTCAAATCTTACAGAAAGACACAAAATGAAAAAAAAGCAGTCTCTCCATGTCCACTCCTCCCCATTCCAGTTCTACCCACACCATGTAAAGCAAAAAGTGCTTTACTTATGTTTTCAAAAGTTCCTACAACAGATATCTATTATTTTGCAGTGGCAAAAATTGTACTTTAAAACATCCCTGGAACTCCTAATCTGCTGATACTTACAATCTCCATAGCTCCAAATAACATCCTTCTATCTGTCTCTTGTTCACAAAGTCCTAGGTCCAAAATCTCCCCTCTAAGAACGATACCCTTTATACTCACCTTGAAAAGGTGGAGTACATTACTTCCTTGCCATGATCCCAATATGTTAGTCTTATTATTTCATAGCTTACTGAGTGCCAACTATGTGCCAGGCAGTGTATCAGAACCCTTGGATACAATAGTGGTCAAAACTAACAAAGTCCCTGACTTCACAGTGCTTATATTCTGGAAGAGTGACAATAAACAAACATAGTATTTGTCAGGTAAGTGTTATAGGAAAATAGAACTGGGTAAAGGAAACCGGGAATGCAGGGGTTAGGGCAGATTCATGAACTGGTAAGACATTCTTATTTTGTATTGTACAGTTAAGGAAGGGCACTCAGATAAAGCGATCTCTGAGCCAAAGCAACAAAGGAAGTGAAAGAGGAAGCCTGTGGATTCTTGGAATAGGCAGAAGGAAGAGCAAGTGCCATGGCCCTGACACAGGGGCTTGCTTGCCTGGTGTATCTAGGAATAGCTTCAGGAGAACGAGTCAGGGGTGAGCAGGAAATGAGGAACTAGAGAGGTAGGAGTGAGTGGCATGCACATGTCTGTGTATGCATGCATGCACAAGCCAGATGGCTGAGGGCATTTTAAGTCATGGTAAAGACCTTAGCTTTGGCTCTGAGTAAGATGGGAGCAATGGAGGATTTTCAGCAGAGTAGTACATGGCCTGACATTGTATTTGTTAATTAAAACGACCCCTACTTTATCATCAACTTTAGACCAAAACGTTAATCAAAACATTTTTTGTAACAGTAAAATACTGGGGGAAATTATTTGACCACAAGCATTATTTAAAGATATGGCACAACTATGAAATGGAATACTATGCAAATACAAAACATGATAAATGGAATGTTAGAAATGTGGTTCTAAAACACCACATATAATGTTACCCGTGAATATATATGCATTGAAGAGTATGGAAAGACATATGCCAACAAATAAGGAGAAAAGTCTCTGGGGAGATGAAAAAAGGAGAACTATAAAGGATTTTTTTTTTCCCTTTGTGCTTTACTTGTGTTTCCAAAAGTTCCTACAATGGATATCTATTATTTTGCAGTGGGAAAAGTTTTACTTTAAAACACCCAAAATAGTAGAACCATAAACTAATCATTTTCTTTGCTTTAAGCTTAAAACAATTATATACAGCACCTATGAAAATAATAATGACTATCAACAAAGTGACATGTACGTTGCTAACAAGTCTCTGGAATGAGCCACTGGGCTTCAGCAAAAGCTTACAGAGCACAGGGTTAATCCATGCTACACCATTTCCCCTCTTACTTGAACAAAGTAACACTTGCTGCTCTAACTCTGCCTGCCAAGTTTTTGATAGTAAGTCCATCGTGTCTCATAACTTCAAAGAGACTCAAAAGTGTCAAGATCCTAAGACAGGAAATTTCTGGAAGCTGAGAATCTCTGGTTAATAGGGGGTTTGGAGACAGCATGCCAGGTTCAGCTCTGACTGGGCACAGCAGAGAAGCAAGTAGCAAACATGGAGATATCCCGGACCAGCCGGGCACAAGTTCTCCAGTGTTTCTAGGAAAGGTGTCTGTTATAGTTATCAACTGCTGTGTAACAAACCATCCCAAGCTTAGTGAGATAAAACAACAATCAAATAATATCTTCTCTCACAATTCTGGGGGTTGACTAGACTCAGCTAGGTAGCTCTCTGTCAGGTCTCTCGTCCAGTTGTAGCCAGATGGTGGTTAGGCTAGAATTGTCTAGAAGGTCCTCACTCACATGTCTGGTGGTCGATGTGGCCAGGGCTTTCCCACACAGCATAGAAGCTTGGTTCCGTGGAGAACTTCCCTGAGAGAAAGCCAGTTAGAAGTTGTATTGCCTTTTCTAGCTAAGCCTTGGAAGTCATACAGCAGCATTTCTGCTGAATTCTGTTGGTTAGAAACAATCTACTAGGGCCAGTTCACTCAGGATGAGTGAAATTAAGATTTTTTTTTTTTTTTTGCTTTGTTTTGTTTTGGAGATGGAGTCTCACTCTGTCCCAGGCTGGAGTGCAGTGGTACAAGCTCCATTCACTGCAACCTCTGCCTCCAGGGTTCAAGCAATTCTCCTGCTTCCGCCTCCCGAGTAGCTGGGATTACAGGTGCATACCACCACACCCAGCTAATTTTTGTACTTTTAGTAGAGACAGGGTTTTGCCATGCTGGACAGGCCGGTCTTGAACTCCTGACCTCAGGTATCCACTCACCTTGGCCTCCCAAAGTGTTGAGATTATAAGAGTGAGCCACTGTGCCCAGCCAAGATTTTGCTTCTCGATGGGAGAAGTATCAAAGAATTTGTGGGCATGATTTCAAATCAGCAATCTTACCCTCTTGCCAAAAATTACTCAGATGTCTCCCACCTGCAAAATACATTTGCCTCTCCCAAGATTCCCTGAAGTCCTCCATTTTCCAGCATCAGGCTTCAGCTAGGGCTCCAGGACCCTGGCATGTAAATTAGTTCTAGATGCAGAAGCAACTCTTGTTATAGTATCTCATGAACCATTCCTATCTGAGGTAATGTAAACTAAGAGAGACACGTTATTTACCTCCACACACCCAATGTGCAATGGTGGGACAGAAGAGAACCACTGTATTTCTTTCAAAAAGAAGGAAAAGGGCAGGCTTATAGCAGCCACTCATCCATAGCAATTCTAAAATCCTTTTGGGCTCACTTCTGTTTTCTGGGAATGAGTCTCCACAGTTTTCACCTATCTTCTCAGCCCTTGATCCTGCCCTCTATTTATTCTACCCTTCCCACCTCGCTGCCCCCAAATGTATCTGTAACTGTTTGCAGTTAATCTGTTTTCTTCCTGTTTGCAAAAGTTTGGGGATTCAAAGACCTTTTTTATTTTGCATTGTTTCTATCCCTGTTAGTTCGAACTGTGGTATGCCTACCAACACAATTCCCTTAAACATTTTTGGTTTAATATGAATCTTATTTAGGATTTACTCCATTAGATAAAAGTCAAATATACAAATCTCTCTGAGACATGCCTTCTTTACCATGAGCTTTTTCTATCACTCCTTTGGGAGAATGCCATTAGGGTTCTTAGAAGCCCTATTTTTTTTTTTTTTTTCTTTTTTAAGGAGAGATCTATGAGGCACATGCTTAGAAGATCTGTCTTTTTGACAAGGTCTTTGAGGCCCAACCATAAATCTTCCTGAAGTCTTCCAATCACATCCTTGGCTTCACTTTCAGAGCATGTTTTCCTAGAACATTTTCCAAGATTTGCTCTCTGGACAGAAGGATTTTTAAATTTTAATGCCATCTGCAATCTGCAGAGGCTAGGAAGATAAAGTCTTGTTTTCTTTTAAATCAAGTCTTGATTCTTTTATTTAGAAGTTCTTTCTTTAACTTTGTCCTCTGTCATTGTATTATCGGTAGAGATAGAAGAAGGAATATGGCCCCTAGAAATCCCAATAGCCAGACTTAGAATTAGTGGGTACATTTCTTATTTTCCATGATACTGAGACAGGAGTGTTCCCTTGACCCCTTTGCCAGGGCGAGTGCTTCTGGGCTCCAGCCCCACAGCAGTGTCTAGGGATGTGTTACAATTAAGTTTCTTTTATCAGTTGCCGTCCATGGACAGCTAATGTTAATCAAGTCAGTAGAGAGTCAGGGTGACCATTTTTTACACCTTCCCCTCTTGGTATCTATGTTCTTGTTCAGTGCCCAGAAGAATCAGGTTGCACAGTTTGAAAAGTAATGAATGTGGAGACATTTATTAAGTGGTGGAAGTGGCTTTCAGTGGACGGGGAGCTGGAAAGGGGATGGTGCAGGAAGAAGGCGATCTTTTTCTGAAGCCCAGCCATCTCTGGCCAGCCTCCTTTCCAATGTCATGCCATCTGAAGTTAAGCTGCATTTATCTGTAGTCTCTGATGCCCAGTTGCTTCTTCTCTTGATGTTCAGCCACTTGTCTCTTTGCCAGCTAAGGTTGAGTTTACATGGGAACAGGATGGTGGGGTGGGCGGGCCAAAAAAGGCAACATTTGACTGAGACAACAGGAATAACTGTTCTCATTTAGGGCCACGGTTTCCAGGCTTGAGGCTGGGGCCTCTGCAGGGGAATTGCTGTCTCCTACCCAGAATTTCCCTGCCTCCTGTCCATATCACTATCAAATGTGGTGATGTTGCAAAAACTTTTATCGCATAGCAAGGAATTTCTTTCCTCCAACTACCAATAACAACTTCCTTTTTGCTGATGAGAACACACTTGCTCATCCTCCTGTAAGCCTTCACTAACACGGCCCTTGAGACCTGCTCAGTTTCGTCAGTAGTTTCCTCGAGCCTCTTGCAACTTCCACCTCCTCCCCAGTCTCAAAGCCAATGCCAGGTTTTAGGATTTTGTAATGGCAGCACCCTATTCAGGTACCAAATTCTCTTCTGGGTAATCTGTTGCTACATAACAAACTACTCCACTGGCTCTCATTGTCTGACACTCCCACTAGCTTTAGCTAGGTGATTTCCACTTGGGGTCTCTCATGGAACTGCAGTTACGTGGTGGTAGGGCTGGAGTCTCGAAGGCTTCCTTACTCACAC